AATTTTTTTTTTTTTTTTTTTTTTTTTTTTTTTTTTTTTTTTCTTCCCCTCGGGGAGTTCGTTTTCTGAATTTTCGCCTTCCCTGGAAAAAAATAAAGTAAAATAAAATAAAAGCATCTCCTGGAGAAGGGAAACCGGAGCTCTGCAAAGCGGCTGTTCCAAGAAGAGAAAAAAGCAACGTGGACCACAGGGTGCCCCGCACCGTACCCCGAATTGGCCCCTGCTCCGTGGCCGCTGCCAACCCCCGGTCCCGCAGCGATGTGCTGGGAGCGCGGGGAGACTGAAATTCTTCCCCGGAGGGCACGGAGAAAGACATCCTCGCCTTTTGAGGCGGCCCCAGTAGGATCGCTCTGGGAACCCGAAAACCGAGATTCGGAAGGGGTGGGGATGGGGGCCTCGGAGACGCGAGGGGAGCGGCGCGGTCCCTTCCCAGCTCTCACCTCTCGCCTTTCTCCCATCCAGGAGGTTTGGCACCAAATGCGCCGGCTGCTCCCAGGGCATCTCCCCCAGCGACCTCGTCCGGAAAGCCCGGAACAAAGTGTTCCACCTGAACTGTTTCACCTGCATGGTTTGCAACAAGCAGCTCTCCACGGGCGAGGAACTGTATATCATAGACGAAAACAAATTTGTTTGCAAAGAGGACTATTTGAACTCTCCCAGTTTGAAGGAAGGCAGCCTCAACTCAGGTACGCGCGGCACAGCCCGGGGAACCGAACCGCACCGGGCCGAGTCCTGCCCGCTCCCCACGGGCAGCGCTGCGCTCCCGGTGCAGCTCCCGGCGCTGCCGGTGCCGAGGTTTCAACAGCGCCCCATGGACCGGGAGGGGGTTTGGGGTGCAAGAGTTCACCTCGTGCTCCCCGCGGGACGCAGGCACGCGTTGAGCCCGTGGCTGCCCCACCGAGTCCTCCCACGCACCCTCCGATCCCGGGACCCCCCCTGCGAGGCTGCCCGGTCCCCCCGCGCCGAGGGCCTGATCCTTCGCCTCCTTTCACCCAGAGGCAAAGCTCCCATTTGACTTCCTTGGAAGCTGTCTCTGCGTCAGGACCGCGGGATCAGGCCCCCTCCTGCTGGCCCAGCAGTGCCGGCCGCCCGTGCTCCCCCCCTGCCGTGGGCTCTTTCTCCGTTCAGCACCCGGGGCCGGATCCTGCCACGCGAGTCAGTGGGGCCGCTGCTGCGAGCGAGGCGAGTAGAGCTTGGCCTGGGTGATGCCGGCATCAGGGTCCGGGGGGGGCGGCTGGGGGAGGCGAGCCAGGTTTGAGGCAGTGACCGGAACCCCCCACGAGCCCATACATTCTTGCATTTCTCCCAGCTGCGCGTCCAGGCTCCCGGTGTGAGAAGCACGGCGTGGGGGGAGAGGGGAAGCGCCAGAGGCTGCAGGGTGCTCGGTGGGGAGGCCCCCTCCCCAGCCCCCTCCCGGCTGCACGGCCCCTGTGCAGCAGTGGGCGGGGGGTGCCGCCGAGTTTGCCTTTCAGATGTAGGGGCCGAACTGTAAGATGCTCAACCGGAGCTCATTGTTCTTTGGGGTGCTTCGGGGTCCTCGGGGGCAACGGCCGTCTGCACCCCTTGCTGCTGCCCAGCACCTCTTCCCCTCTCCTGAAAAGCATCTGGGCTCGGTGGGAAGGGGAGGGCAGTGGAGAGGGGGGTCGATCTCTCTCCTAAGCAATCCGCCCCCCTCCCCCCCCTGCCCCCTCTCTGGGTCTCCTTTACAGTGTCCTCATGTACAGACAGGAGTTTGTCCCCGGATCTCCAGGACCCCATGCAGGACGACACCAAGGAGACGGACAACTCCACCTCCTCGGACAAGGAGACCACCAACAACGAGAACGAGGAGCAGAACTCGGGCACCAAGCGGCGAGGGCCCCGCACCACCATTAAGGCCAAGCAGTTGGAGACCCTCAAAGCTGCTTTCGCAGCCACCCCCAAGCCCACCCGGCACATCCGCGAGCAGCTGGCCCAGGAGACCGGCCTCAACATGAGGGTCATCCAGGTACGGCCACTCCACAGCCATCCCACCACCCCCCATGATGTCACTGGGCCGGCCCATGACGTCACCGACCTGACTCGCACAGGTCCGGGATGGCAGAATTTGGGCTGGCAGCAGGAAAGGGCTGGGGATGTGGATGGGGCCCTGGATGCGAGCACAGGAGATGGAGAAAAGGAGAGGCCACTGTGCCCTGCAGGCAGCCCTGTACCTTCCTACCGCGCTGCCAACCAACCTCCCCGGCAAGAAAATCCCTGAGGAAATGTAGGGATTAATGGGATTTATTAGCAGCGTTAACAGGGGAAGACGCTCCGGCTCTGCTGCAGGGAGCCCAGCTCCCGATGGAGGGAAGCAGGACCCGCGGGACGTGTGCACATTCCAGATGTGCCCAGATGTGGGGGGAAATAGCGCATATCCCTCCTCCCTCCCCACCCACAGGCCAGCAGAGCTGTGCTTTGGAGAGAGAACGCCCCCGAGGCAGGAATGCTCCCTGTTGCACCACCCTTCCCTTTTATTCCCGTCCCCATCGGCCAGCTTGCTTCCAGCTCCCTCCCCGCCTCCTGCCGTGACCCCCCCCATTTATCCCCTTCTTTATCCCTCTCCCCCATTGGAGAAAACTTTCGGGGCACAGGCAGGCTGTGAGGACGGCGCACCCCACGGCACGCAGGGAGGTGCCGGGGCTTTAATGACCCCTTTCCTTGCCTCCCAGGGTGTTACCAGCAGGGGGTAGCGTGAAAACAACCCCAAGCTGGGAAATCCCTTCCAGCGAGATATCCCATCCCCGCCCCCATCATCCCTGGCCTAAGTGGGGAGGGCTGGCCCCGAGAATTTGGGGTCCCCACGGCAACCCGGCCCCGAGTGCTGATGCCGGCCCGGCCTCAGGTCTGGTTCCAGAACCGCCGATCCAAGGAGCGCCGGATGAAGCAGCTGAGCGCGCTGGGCGCCCGCCGGCACGCCTTCTTCCGCAGCCCGCGCAGGATGCGGCCCCTGGGCGGCCGCCTCGACGAGTCCGAGATGCTCGGCTCGACGCCCTACACGTACTACGGAGGTGAGGGAGCTGGGCCCCTCGTCCCGTCTCCGTGTCGTCGCACCGCGTTCTTCCCCCGTTCCCTTCCCTGCCTTTGTTCCTCTCCATCTCGACTCTCCCTTTCCCCTGCCGCCCGGACTCGGGGCGGTGGCAGCGGTGGGGGTGGCAGCAGCGCGGCCCCTCTCCCTGGAAACAAAGCCTCAGCTGCTGGCTTCTGCGCCCCTTTCAGGCTGCATTTGTCCCAGTTACCCCCCCCCCGGGCCTGCAGCTTAGGGAAGGTCACCGCCACCCTGACAGGACGGGGTGGGACAGGGAGCCCCAGGGCATTTGGGACAGTATATCCCGCTTTTGGGCAAAGAGCTCTCACCAATTCCCCTCTGCCCCCACTGCTGCCAGAACCCCTCTGTAGCTAATATATATAAGTATGATGTGTGTTTTTCCTCCTATAAGTAAGTATAGTATAGTAAGTATATTTTATTTTTATATGTCTCCTATAACTCACCTTTATTTATGTGTCTCCTTTACGTATATCTTCCTATTAGATATGTATATAACTTTTATCTATATTTATAAATGCATACATGCATGTACATATATGTGCAGGTATATAGACATGTGTATTTCTCTTAGTTGTAACTAAGAACCAAATTATGCCTACCCTCTCCCCCTGGGGCTGCCCCCAGCCCCTACTGTTCTCCAGTTCCCCCCCTTTCCATTCCATCAGCACTGCAGCCATAAGTACAGAGGTGCCCGTTTTTCTCCCTGCTCAGTCCCACGTTCGTTCCAGCAGCACCGAGCTCCCCAGGAGGGTATTCTGGAGGGGGGAGAGGGAGGCACGCCCGTCCCTGCGTGGGGGTGCAGCTCTACTTCCCGCAGGCGCTCGGGGTGGTGGCTCGGGACCGGCTCCAACCTTTCCCCACCTTTGCAGATTACCAAGGTGACTACTACGGGCCGGGAGGCAACTATGACTTTTTCCCCCACGGGCCCCCCTCCCAGGCCCAGTCCCCGGCCGACCCCAGCTACCTTCAGAACTCAGGACCCGGCTCCACGCCCCTGGGATCCCTGGAGCCCCCCCTAAGCGGACACCACTCCTCAGAAAACCAAAGGTACACGGATATGATCTCGCACCCCGACACCCCCAGCCCCGAGCCGGGGATGACGGGCTCGCTGCACCCCATCCCGGGGGAGGTCTTCAGCGGGGGGCCCAGTCCGCCCTTCTCCATGTCCAGCAATAGCGGCTACAGTGGGGCCCTCGCGCACCCCAACCCGGAGCTGAGTGAGACAGCGGTGTGGTAGGGCCGAAGGGGAGGACTCCCCCGCCCCTCAGCCCCGGGGCACGGCTTTCCGCGGCCCCGTCGACGGATATCGGCCCCCCCGACGCCGCGGCCGCCCTCCGACGTCCGACCGCACCCTGCCACCGCGCCCCCCCCCCCCCCCCCCCCCCCGCGGGGACACCGCGCTCCCTCCCCGCCCGCCCGCACCGCTCCGCATCCCCGTGCTGTTATGAGTGGGGGAGAGGGGGGCGAAACGCGCCCGGCCCGGAGCTCCCCCCGCCGCGTCGGAACCGCCGCTCTCGGACCAAAGCTGAACTCTGCAGGACGCGGGTCCCACCGGTGCGGGGGCTGCCGCGGGGATCCTCGCTCGCTAAACAGCACCCATTTTAATTATCCCCTTCTTCAGCCTCCGTTCATCCGAGTATTACAGTGGGGGTAACGGGGGACAGCAGGACGCTCCCTAAGCCCCCTCCCGGGCCCTTTTCCCGTTGATCCTGCTTCATCCCCGAGGAGGAGGTGGTTTTGTACTGGAATTTTGGTGATGGATGAGCAGGGGGGCGGGGGGAGGGGTGTGCGGAGCTTGGGAAACCCGGGAAGAGGCAGAAATGGGAAAAGCAAACAGAAACAGAGAGAAAAACGGAGAGAACACCCGAGCAGTGCGGCAGCGCAGGAGGGCCGAGCCCCCCCCGGCCCCGCGGTCTGAGGATGTATTATAGTTTTTGCTTCTAGTTTCTTTATTTTGTATAAAGGAGAAACAAATAAAGTATGTTTTTGTGTTTACTGATTATTTATTGTACTTTTAGTCATTGGAAGCTCTGAGTTTTTTTTCTATTTTGGAGGCTGGGAAAGGGCGGTGGTGAGTGGAAGGAGAGAGGATAGAGCAGGGTGGGGGGGGGAAAGGGAAAAAGAGAATGGAAAAGGAAGAAAAAAGTTGTGTTCTGAGCGTGGGTTTCCTGTCCCCACTGCCTCTTGCAGAGGCTGTCAATGTGACCAGCTCGTGTTGTTCGATGTGAATAAAAATCATTTTAGTTACCTGCTCCGGCACCTGGTCCCTTTCATTGCGGGGTTTGAGCGATGAGCGGCGCCCAGCTAATATTTAAAATGCAAAATCAAGGCAAGAGTGTATCCCCCCCAACCTCCGCCTTGTCTTGTAGTAAAAAGGTATAAACAGAATAAATTACCTTCCCTCGCTGGCTTCCAAGAGCCCCTCTCTCTGACCTGAATTTTAAGTCCCGGCGTGGTGGTGCCGCCAAGAGCTGGTGATGGATGACAGGCAGCCACCTCGCTGCGTATTTTCCCTGTTCAGCCAAGCGGAGGAATTTATCCTTCCTGTGCCATGATGAGTGGTAATGAGGGGCCGCAGCCAAGCGGGGGGCACCCGAAGGACTCAGCATGAGGGAAACTGAGGCACAGACCCGCTGGGACCCCAGAGCAATAGGATGTGTATGGGCAGTTTGAGGGCCAGCAGACCCCCCTGCCACTGTCATTAGGAGGGCTGCAAAACAGAGCACAAGGGCACGCGCTGGCTGCTATTGTTACGAACACTGTGTTACTACTGTCCTGCTGGTTGCAGGGTGCACCAACCCACAGCACCTACCCCAGGCTGCAGGGAGGAGGTTGGCAGTGGTTGGAAGTGGGGGCTCCGTGTGAGAAGGTCGGGGTGCAGAAGCTGGAAAGTAATCGGGTTCTGGACCCAGGATAAAAAACTGTGGGAGGAGGTTGGTCTGACTCCTTATAATTAATTGTGTGCCTTGTAATAAGACTCTCCAGCCTCCAGCACTCCCTAGAAACACGTTTTTACATAAGATATTGCCCACAGTGGAGCAGTGGGTATTTGATTTATGGGGTGGGTCCTCTGGGAAGCATGGTGTGGGCTGGCCAGGCTGAGGGGATTTATTGGGGAAAAGGGAAAAAAGAAGATGGGGAGGAGGAGGCTTCTGGGAGGCGGCTGGGCAAGGGGAGACTTGTTAACTCTCTGGAGGGGCAGGAGGAGGCTGAGAGGAGTTTTACGGCAGGAAAGGGCAGAATGGACACTGGAGTGAAATAGATCAACTGAAGTGAGTTGGAGCAGTGGTGTTAACTGGGCACCAGTCAGAGCTGGGAGCACCAGCAAGAGCAAGGCCCTACAGCCCTGCCAAGGAGCCACCTGGCTGCGGACAGTGCAGCAGGAACAGAAGATTGTAAAAATTAATAATCATTAGAATAATAACACATTGAGATAATAGCAAAGTAGTCAGTCAGAGGGAGCATTCACTAATTGGAGTGGGGAACCGTGGTCTGTGCCAGCCACAGCAGCTCAAGGGACGCGGCCGTCCCCAGGGCAGAGGGAGGAACGCCGCCGTGCCTCAGTTTCCACATGCTGCACAGTGATGGGCGCGGTGCACGTCCAGCAGCCATCACTGCAGCACAGGGGGCCACGGGGTGGCCGTGCAGTGGCACAAGGGTCACTCCAGGCCCAGCTGGTTCTTCAGGTCCCGCAGCAGCGCAGCCGTCATGCTGCTGCCGCCGCAGATCACCAGCACCACGCTGCCCAGCGGAGTCCCCAGGCGTCCCTCACGCTGCAGCTGCTGCAGTCGCCCCGAATAGAGCAGGGCCAGTGCTGCACCACAAGCTGGCTGCACCAGCATCCGCTCGTCGTCTGCAGGGATGGAGACATGCTGAGTGCCTGTCCCCATCACACCCCTCTGCAAGTCCCTGTCCCCGTGCCCTGCTCACCCAGGAACCTTTCCACAGCGCGCACGGCCTCGGCATCTTCCACCACCTCTGAAATGACCTGGATCTCCTGGGCACACTGCAGCGCCCGTGCTGACACAGTCTTGGCCCCCAGGCACTTGGCCACACTGGAGAACGAGTCAGAGTAGACCTGGGATCCTTTGTCCCCTTGGTGCTCCACTAGAGCATTGGCTGAGACCTGCCAACTTGTGACATACACCAGAGGCGAAGCCCCCTGCACTTTCTACTGGGGACCCCTATGCTGATGGAGGTGCCCCCATGCTGACACCAGCACCCACCTGGTGATGTCAGGCAGGGTAACGAGGTGCCCAGCCTTCAGTGCCACGTGGAAGCTGTGGGCCCCCCAGGTCTCCGCGGCAATGATGGGGACATCAAGCCATCCCACCTGCTGCAGCCCAGCCACCACGCCAGCCAGCAGCCCTCCACCTCCCACTGCCAGCAGGATGGCGTCAGGTTTTGCATCCAGCACGTCCTTCAGCTCCAGGACCAGGCTGGCATGGCCCTGCCTGTGGGATGGAGACAGTGGGTGGCTGCCTGTGTCCTGTCCAGAGCACAGGGGCGAGTAGCACTCACCACAGCAAGGGGTGGTCAAAGGGGTGGATGCTCTCCCAGCCCTCGTTCTGCGCGAGCTCTAGGGCTCTCTGGTTGGCTTCATCCCACACCTGGGAGGCGGTGGGTGCTCAGTGGGGCTGCCGCCAGCTCCAGTGCACCATCCCCATTGCCCCTCCCTTGCTGCCATGAGGACAGTGGAAATCCAAGTGGCGTGTGGGTGATGCATTTTGGGACAGGGACACTGGGTCTGCACACATCCACAGCCTCGCAGAGGGCTGCGATCTCCTCCAGCCACAGTTTGGGGCATGGGTGCCCTACCTTCCCATAGGTCTCCACCGTTGCCCCCAGCTCCTCCAGCCTGCGCACAGTGCTGGAGCCGGTGCTGCTGGGCACCACCACAGTGATCGGCAGCCCCAGCTTCCTGGCCGCATATGCTGCAGCCATGCCAGCATTCCCCCCTGCGAAAAGTAGTGGGTTGAGCAGTTCCATCGCCCCCCATACCCAGCTCATCCCAGACCTACAGGATGAACTTTGCTAGGGGGGAGAAGGGACACCCGATCTGGATCAGCCCCAAAACCCAGTGGGAAGGCACAAGGACAAGGGGCCGGGAGCACAGGGGTGTTCCCTAGCACCTCCATCCTATAGACCCCTCGAGCCCCACGCAGGTCCCAATTACCTGAGGAGCAAACAAAGTGCCGGCAGCCCTTCCTGGCAATCTGTGGAGAGGGAAGGAGACAGAGGAAGGACACGGCCATAGGAATCCACAGTGTCCCGAGGCCACACAGCCATGTAGCACACCCACCTCCTGGCAGAGGTGCCCGACGCCCCGGATCTTGAAGGAGCCAGTGGGCTGCACGTTCTCCAGCTTCATGTAGACCTGGGTCCCTGCTGCCCGGGACAGGGGCAGGCTCTCCAGGAGCGGGGACACGATGTGGAAAGTCTTCTCACCCCCCGTGCATTGGGCTGCCATTACTGCAGGATGCTACGTGAGAGCTGGTGTGGGGCTTGCTGCACGTCCCAGAACGACGCTGGGGGACTGAGGAGGGCAAAGTGACGTCAGAGGAGCTGCGGTTGCGTCCCTGGGTCCTTTGTCAGCAGATTTGAGGACTTTGCTCTATTGGCCTGGGACGGCAGTCAGCCCTTCCAGGCAGCTGTAGCATGGCTCGTTGGCACTGGAATTAGCACAGTGTGTCCCGGTCACAGCAAGTGCTGGGGGAAGGGCTCCTGGCGGGGCTGCACTGCTGTGGGGCCAACAGCCCTGCTCTGCCCTGGGACAGCCTCTTCCCATCAACCTCCAGTTGAGGCACCCCCCACACCAACACACTCAGAGCTGGCTCTGCCCTAGGCAGGGAGGAGCAGGATGGGTCCCGGCAGGACAGGGATGTGCTGTTCCAGAGGTGACAAATGCTGGTGTGTGCCAGGAATGACAGGGGCACAGCCAGGTCTGAGGCCGTGGGACATCAGCCAGCCTGGACCCGGTGGGAACCTCGTACCTTCAAAGCACTGTCTAATGTCAGCTCATTAATCCCCCAGTAATTACCTCGTTATTCCTAACGAGCCACACACATGGAGCGGATCAAGGGAGCTGCAGTAAGAGGATTTTGCACTGGAGGTTTTGGGGCTGGGGGGCACACAGGTGGCTGAAGAAGGGAAACAAAAGGGACAAGAATGGTCACTCTGTCCTGGGGCAGGCAGTGCCCCCCCTCCTTCACTGCTTGCCTGTTCCAGCTGTGCATGCTGCTGCTGCCAGGAACCAGGGGAGGCATCGCTGAGCAGTCTGAGCAGAGGCCAAGAACCCCGACCCGCTGTGTCCCAGCACTGCACTGCAGGCACTGCTCTGTGCTCCTGGAGCAGCACCCAGCAGATAAACATCCCTGAACGGGGTACCACAGCATGCACCGCAGAATGTTGGAAGAGTATGAAGTGCAGTCACCAGCATCTCCATTGCACACAGAGCGTTTTATTTGTTACACCAACCCCGGCCATTCACCCCTCCCTGCCATGCAGCTGTCCCAGCGCCAGCCCCACCTCCTGGAACCCGTCTTCCAGGAACAGCCTCCCAGAATGAGGAGCCCTGTGGGAGGCTTTCCTTCCATGCTTGGTTTTGGGACTGGGGTCAGAGCCCACTGACCGACCCCAGCCACGGTGGCACGGATGGGGCACAGGAGCAGCAAATGGTGAGAGAAGCATGGGGAGAAAAACACGGGGGGCGGTTCCCTGCAGCCCCCCATCCTGCAGAAACAGGGAAAGGCGTGGGGAGGTCCGGCTCAGTCCCATCGGACTTTGACAGGAGGGAACCTCCAGAGGTCAGGGTGGCCCATGTGCAGCAGGTGGCTGCACGGCGATGCGCTCCAGCGGAAGGGCGGCACATCATCCCATGTCGGCCCACTGGCAGCCACCAGCCCGAAGGTGCGGGCCATGCCAAAGGAGGTGACCTGGCGGAGGGGGTAACGTGGAGATGTGAGTGCCAGAAAGTGACGGCATGGCAGGGCCCAGGGCTGTGCCCACCTTGGTGTCAGTGCCGCCGTGGCAGCGCTGGCGCAGGGCGGCGAAGGGGTAGGTGCCGTTGGCTGGGTTGAGGTCAGAGCGGGCGGAGATGGCGTTCTCAGCGTTGTGGGGCGGGTCGCAGCCCCGGCACTGTGACAGCGGGTCCTGCAGGTAGTTGTTGGACCTGCCAGGCAGCAGGGAGAGAGACCGGGTGCAGGAGGTAACACGACAACTGCGGTGAAGATCTGACACAAGGGCTGGAAAATCCCTGGGGCCAGCACCCACCTCATCAGACGGACCATGGAGTCCACATCACGGACCTGAGTCTGATTCCTGCGAAAGATCTGGGCGCGCGGGTTCTTGTCGTAGGTGAACCAGTCACCATACTTCTGCACCAGCTCCAGGTTCCCGCTGGCATTGAAGATCTCCTCAAAATACCTGGATGGGAGGGTAGGGACAGTCAGCCTTGCCTGCCCTCAGCATAGAACCATACGGCTGGGCAGAAAGGTGAGGCTGGATGAAGCTTACGGCACATTGTAGCTGGCCCAGTACCCCTGCTGGTACAGCAGCTCTGTCTTATCAGCCACCATCACCAAACCCCTGTGGCGGGAGGATGGCAGCAGTCAGAGCAGAAGGCAAAGTACAGCACGGATGAGGGAAAACCCACCTGGGGGTCTCAAGCAGGGGGCCAGGAGCCATCACCCGCACGCAGGAGAGCCGTAAGCAGCAGCCCCGCTGCTGTCACACCTTGGCAGAAAGGCCACCACCAGCAAAGGAAGCCCACCTCGCCCACTGGGCAGCCTGCGGGCCGGGCACTGGGGGGCAAGAGGCACTCACGGGATCTGCTCCAGCACCGTCAGCAGGCCCTGCTGCAGGGCAGCACGCTCTGGAGAGAATGCCTTGTAGTCCACCAGCATCCACTGGTTGTTGTACCTGCAGGAAGGCATGGTGACCTCCTTTGGTGGCCGCCCTTAGGAGGGGACGTTTCTCCCCCAGCCCCGACCCTGCTCACGTGCCACTGTTGAAGCGCTGGAAGATGCCAGCCCACTCAGCACCGCTGCGGGCCAGCCGGTTGGCCACGATGTTCCGCAGCCACTCCAGGACGCTGCCCTGAGGCCGCAGGTACTGCCAGCGTGCCTCGTTGCTGTTCCCAATGGTGGTCTCCAGCGCAACCTGTGGGGACAGGAGGACTGAGCAGGGCCGGTGGGGGGCGCAGGGCTGCAAGCGGCACTTACCAGCCCGCTGCTCAGGATGTAGAAGTCATCCCCGGAGAAGATGGTGCCGGGGTAGGAGGAGAACACCTGGATGCTGCCCGGGACGCGGGCGGTGCCTAGGAGAGCAGAGCAGGTCAGGCAGCAGGTGGGGGCACAGAGCAGCGCCCGGCCCCACACGCACCACTGGGTTCAGCACGGAACGGCAGCGTGTACTTCTTGATGAGGCGCAGCATGGACTGGTAGGGCGCCCAGGTGTCGTGGGCCACCAGCAGGTCCCGGCGGCCTGGCATCAGCTTGAGCAGCGCTGAGCACGAACCGGAGCCCAGCGGGCGCAGCGGGGCAGAGCGGTTGAAGGCCGCCTCTAGGTCCTCCAGGTCCCCCCCCAGCTGCAGCAGGCTGCGGGCAGCGGGGCGTCAGGCCGGGGCAACCTGCACCGAGCACCGCTCCCGGGGTGGGGGGGTGCTCGGTGTGCCCAGCCCGGGGACGGAACCTTCCTTACAGGAAGCCGAAGGGCGAGAGGGAGAGGCGGCCGGCGGGGACGGCCACGCGCCCGCGGTAGCTGTCCTCCAAGCCCTGCAGCTGCAGCAGCGCCAGTCGCACCTGTGGGGAGACGGGGAGGCGGGACGGGGACCGACGTTACTCTCGGGCCTCGCGGTGCGGGGCCGACACCCGAGGGCTGCGGGGCCCCGACCCGGACGGCCTCACCTGGTGCCAGTAGGCACGGTCGCGGCCGGAGCCCATCTGCTCCTCCATCCAGGCCAGGTTGGCCTCCAGGTATCCCCGCAGCCGGCGGCAGTACTGCGTCTCGTAGCGGAAGGGCCCGCAGTAGCCCACGGCCGTGTTCATCCAGTGCATGTAGATGAGCTGCGGTCACGGCGCTGGCACCCACTGCCCCGCGCCCGCGACCAGCAGCACTACTGCCGCCGGCTGCGGGGATCCCGGGAGGCCAACC